CCAGTCGGCAGCTGGACGCCATGTCCCAGCAGCCCCTGCCCACATTGCTGGGGCTGGTCTCCATGGTGACCCCAGCCCCAGCTGTGCTGTGAGAGTTCAAGGGTGGGGTTGCCATGGAGACAAGCCCCAGTTGCACTGGCAGGCATCAGGGCAGAGCAGGGCAGCTTGCTCTGGAGCCAAGGCAGGGTCTTGATCTGTAGCCTGCGTGCTCCAGGCAGCGGCGCACAGGCAGGGGATTGAGCTCTGCCCTTGCTGCAGGCCAGGCTGTCACCCCTGCAAGGAGCCGGGGCAGAGCCGCGATCCCCTGTCTGCAAACAGAACGTGATGAGCTGGGCTGAAGCTGACACACTAAGTCCTGTGTCCACAGCGGCATCCACATCACAGTTCAGCTGAAGACTGGGGAATGGTGTACCCGTACCTGTCATGGCTAAGATTGCAATTAGCTGTAGCACAGAGTGATTGCAGAGAGGGCTGTGGGGGCTGGAGGCAGGTGGGACGGGAGACACTGATGGTGTAACGCTTGTGACTGCAGCTCCAGGAGGTGTTTGAGGACGTGGCCGTGTATTTCACGCGGAGGGAGTGGGAGCTGCTGGACGATGACGACAAGGTGCTTTACCAGGACCAGATGCTGAAGAATTTCAACACCCTCGTTTCCCTGGGTAAAGCTCTGGTTCTTGTTTCTCCTTGGAGCTATGTGAGCTCTGGAGTTTTGTAATTGTCTCCCTGTGTTTCAACAGTCTCATCCTCATGAACCTTTGGCTGGAGGTTTCTATCCACTTCGTCCCCACTGCTCTGTCAGTGATCAGGCTGGTTTCACATTTCAACCTGATATATCCACCTTCATTTGATCCAGCCGCCTTCACTTGCATCTTCCCCATTCTTATAACTCCTGGTTCTTCCATATGCAGCAGTTTCTTGCCAGCGTGATTTCCCTTTGCCGTTTCAGTGTGTGCATATCATCTCCAGTTGCTGTTTCTTGGAGAATTATTCTGATTTCCTCCCTGCCTGGCCTAGCGTGTCCTCTCCAAGCACGTTTAACAATCCTAGCATGCTCAGTTCTGTGAGATCTAAATCCCCTTTCTGCTCTCGTTATGACCCAGCAGAAATTAATAGAAAGTCTTATTGGCCCCTGTTGCTACAGCAGTGGCTGGTGCATTTCCTCAATTCTTCCTCTAGTGACATATGTACGTGTGATGTAACTGAAGTATTTCTTCCGGGGGGTCACTGGAATCGTGTGTCCACATCCCTTCCTAACATCTTCATCTCCATAGACCAGACTCTCTGGCTTTGCTGTGTTTCTGTTAAGACCTGTGCTCTCAAGCCCTCTCTGCCAGTCTCAAAAGTTTTCTTGTCCTCATACTGAAAACCCTCTGCAGATCAATCATTTTCATTTCCAGAGTATCTCTAATACAGGGGCTTGTTCTGGGTTGTGCGCAGGGTTGAGGTACTTACCTTTTACTAGGTCAGTTTGCTTTTCTGATGCGTCCTTTTCTGAATTGGTCCCTCTTCCCAAAGAAGTCGCATTGTCAGCCACTTGTCCTGTATGCTTTCACTGGCTCCAGTCTCATTTCTAGGTCAGTTTGCTTTTCTGATGCGTCCTTTTCTGAATTGGTCCCTCTTCCCAAAGAAGTCGCATTGTCAGCCACTTGTCCTGTATGCTTTCACTGGCTCCAGTCTCATTTTAAACCTTCACTACGCTCATTTTCACTCCTTTTGCTGGAATTACACTGATAGCATTTTTTAAATCTAATATAATACAGGGCTTAGTCCGTCTGTCCGTCCGTCTGTCCGTGAGGTTCTTGGAGCACTCTGAACCAACCAGTCAGAATGCTCCAAGAGCGTTACGGACAGAGGGGATGGAGCGGGGGCCCTGCTCCTGGGAGGTGGCGGCAGTGCGGGCTGGTGGGTGGAAGCGCTCCGTCCCCACCCCATCGTTGTTGAC